ATATACCTATACCTGTTTAAGTCCTTAACATCTGTTATGTCCTTGATGAATATTTAGATAATCAGACGCCATTTTTCAAGAAATTGCTAGAATTTAATCTAACCATGCTAACCATGAGAACTGAAAAATTCGCTCGTAACCGCATAGAATATTTAAGACATTTCGTAATGAGTCAGGCATTCGAAGTTAACCGACACAAACAGCTGTTATTAAAAAAAATACCCCCTTCAAAGTGGGTAAAGGAAGTTCTAACTTTCCTTCAAACTTGTTCACTGTGCAGATGCTTTATATCAAAATGTTTTGAGACTGCAAGACACTTGGCTAATTTGATGAACAAACACGTGTCTTGGGATCGGAGAGAAGAACAGGAAACTTTTTCCAAAATACTAAGGTACTTTTTGATAAGTTTACCTATCTTATCTTTAGTGAAAAGTGATTCAACCAAATCCTACATTGTTAGGACAGAAGTTAGTAACTATGGACGAGATGAGGTCTTGTTAAAGGCACTGGTATAGAAAATCTCCTAACCGAATACGCAAGGTGGTTACACACAAAGGCCGAAACGGATTACTCTATGGTCGAACGAGAAGCCTTATCCATCTTATCATCTTATTATGGGCTTTAAATAAGTTTCATACATCTATCAACGGCCAAGAAGTTCCTATAGCAACAGACTATCAGCCATTTAGATGGTTGATGGATTTGACATCCAGGCGCGATGGTCATTACAGATGCAGTCCTAAAACTTGATAAAGATAAAATATATACTAGACAAAGTTAACGTTGTTGCAGATATGTAGTTTTAACCGTTCTGTCAACTAATAGGAGTGATAGAGATTATCTAATGGAGCAAGGAGTTTTATATAGATGTTCAGGAAAGGTAAATACAGAAGAAGCTAAGTTAGTAATCTTGTTTCTTGAAAGGGAAAGATTACAAGAGAACTGTGATGGCTTATCAACTGGGCATTACTGTATCGAAGGAACATATGATGGAGTTACCAGGCGGTACTATTGGATTGGTATGCACAGGTATATTGCCGATTATATCAAGATTACGCAGTATATTACCGATACACTGTGATTGCAATCGTCGCGAACCAAGTCACCAGAAGTCATCTGGACTATTACAAACACCGATCTATGATCAACGATTTGAATCTCTTTTAATAGATCTATTAGAACCTTTACCGAAGTGTAATAGAAAGAGTTGGGTCTTCATCGTACAAGACTGTGCCACTAAGCGGGTGAAGCTATTTGTATTAACCATTGCAACTTTTAAAAACTGGAAACAGTTACATATTTAATATTTGGGCGAGAGCTAAGTACTACGGGCGACAATGCCCATCATCTAAGTGTTCCCGAAAGTGATATTTTCGTTCCCGAAAAAAAGCGTATCTAAAGAAATTCGCAAAATTTATCAAACAGATGAAATGTCGAATAGCGAGAAGCCAAGACATTAATGTGCTATGTAGATGAGAAATTTAAGAAAGCTGCCCTTTTCGAACATATTGACAGAGTGTAGGTTACAGCTCATTGCTTTATTAATGTTGTTACGAATCAAACTTCTAAGTTCATGCCAAGGTTTGATGGTCCTTATACGATCTTATCCTAGATATCACCAAATTCATATACTACCTCTGCTACTGATGATCATTTTTCTCCAATAGATAACTACCATGTATCTGCGACGCGCCATTTGAAGGGCAAGTTTCTACTCCTAATCCGAGGAAGAGACCGACCGAGCAGAGCCCTTGAAACTGATGGGCGAGCTGTTACTACCAGAAAGCAGCCATCAAGAGCAAGCCATAAATAGTGGAGAACTTAAACGGCTTGAAGAGAAAAACGTAATATATAGCGTGTAACAGATGCCGTGAGTCATTATTCGAATGCTCATCAGTGGCCAAGCGGTAAAGTCGCTAAAGGCTGGTAGCTAAGATTCGCTTCCTAGGACAACGAACTGGCTACTTCTGCGTTTCCATAGTTTTCTGATGTGTGTATCGTGCATAAGTGTGCAACGTTTTTACCGTGTGTTACGTAGACTTCTGAACCAGTTTTCCTTCGAAAGTCCTTCACGAAAGCATCTCTCCTCTTAGGCGTATAGTCCTCGGGTGTTTGCCATAATCAAATAAATCCAATCAAACCATTATTGGAAGAGAATATCTGCTCCTAGTCACATAATGTGTGACTCATCCTCATAAACTGTCATTTCCTGCTACAGCTCATGTGAACAGAAGAATATTCAGTTAGACTTAAACTTCGCGCGAACAATGAAACATCACGGTTGCTATTTTTGTATCAGCGTGTGTAGTTTCGTAAAATAAATTCCAGTTCGTTCGTACCACATTACCTTCATTATTGTTTCCGCGTTGTCTCTTTTCCATCTAAATCATAACAAGGAAGTATATTTTATGTTAATGTAATTATTCAGATGCATTGCTGGAAATGATCATTTGCGGAGAAAATAGTACATCAGGAGGTTATCCATAGTGGCTAACTTATATTTTATTTCTGACTTTAGCGGGCCTTGTGTTCTGGGTTAATTGTAAGGCAAATTGTGTATTCTTCATGTTGTGTAACTGAATCGATATATCCGAAATGCACAGAAACGTTAGTTATATAGATATTTCTTACATCGATTTATCGATATTTTGCTCCTATATGAATGCATATGGCTTTCTTGTGGTTGTTTACATTGCGAATAATAGAATAGCTAGGTTTCCGTATTTTTGTGAAAGCAAGCAATATTTTCTGAGCGTTAGCAATTTCGTCTTAGGAAGTCAAAATACGAACTTAAAATAGGCTTGAAATATTTTATAATTCCTTTTCTTCCTTCCTTTCTTTTTAAAATTATCCTTCATTTACCCATAAACAACTCATTTCTTTTTTATTATTCGATTTTATATATATTTTTTTATAATACAGTTTCGTTCTTTGACATGCTGTTGGCCTTGTTATGTTTCTGGATTATGCAAATATTGGTTGATATATTATGAATTCCTGTCTTAATTTGTAAGGATTTATAGTAGTCGTGCTATACGTATCACGTGACCTTATGGGATATGAGTTTATCACTCTTAATACTAAGGGAAAGAAAAACAGTTCGAATTGCAGCGAGCGTCCAGTGGAATTCTGTCGTTTCTTAAATAATAAATATCAAATAAAAAAATCTGATAGTTAGGTTTCAGATTTTATATTATGCCAAAAACGGCTTTTTTAACATTTTGCGTCTTACTTTTATTTATTAAATATCAAGTTCTTCGCACTTAAACCATAAAATAAATTCAACAACAATATCACAAAATAATTTAAAAAGAGCATATCCGATATACAGTCTCGCGCGCTGGAGATAAAAATGTTTCTTTTTATCATACAGTGTTGCGCACTGCTGGCTTTGAAAACTCTGAGTTTGCTAATAAAAATTAGTTAAAAGTTTACAAAATATGAAATAGATAATAAAACAAATTCCAAATTTGGGCTTCCAGATGCCCATATTCGGGTGGAGACGTGCGTTATTAAAAATTGTATGGCTCTAGGTACCGTTGTTTTATCACAATGCGAAAAACATACATACATTTATGCATATTTTCCATTATTTAATTTCTTTTAAATATAATAAAGAGCGATAATATTTGGTGGCTACAATTTGAAAAGTGATTCAGACTTTTAAAGTTTTCAACTCAAAATGCCAAAACGAAATCATTAGCTCTTCAGGGCTAACGCCTTTTGGGCTAAGAATAAAAATACGAAAAGCTTTCGGATTTTATATTACGCCCAAGGGTGGGGTTTTTTTAACGTTTTATATGTTACCTTTTTTCATTAAATACCAATCTGGTTCCTCCGGTTTTCATGATTCACGTTAATTAACATTATCTATATTGCCTCTCTCATTGAAGTTGACTGCCTTTCTTAGGATTAGTTATCCTCAAATCTGTTCTCTATGCTTGAGTGATGCACATCGTTCAAATCTCCGTGGGGTACATGTTTTTGGTTACAGAAAATGAGTCTCGGCACACTTTCAACTAATGCCAGGATATGTTCACCAAACGTTATCTCCACTGATATGTTAACCACTAATAATGTCTGACCTCTAGCTGTCATGGCTGTCATGATGCAATCCCCCCCGGGGGTTGACTCAGGCGAATGCCTGGGAAGTACTGGTTAGGATCTGTACCTAGGCAGTCTCAACCACGGGGGCAAATAATTTGACTTCACAGGACTAGAACCCGAGTATTGTACTCAGGTTTGTTCAGGCTTGGTAGGGACCGTACTGGTACTGTCGTGTCTGTTCCTTCGGCTGTGGTGGAGCTATATGGTTAGATAGTTTTGGACCTTCTCGATGGGGGTTCAGCCCTCGGAGTCTCAGTGACGGGGACTGGCATGGTAAGGTAGGGCACCCCTTTTCTGAATTTACTGTTGCCGAGGGAGTGGTGCCCCGAGGCACAGGTGTCTGAGCGTTCTTTTTCTTCTGCACAAGCGACGATTTTCTTCGTCCTGCTGAGGTTGTGCATAAAGCCGGGCAGGGACTGTGGGGCCTGCGCCGCCACTGAGGGGTTCTACGTGACCCGGATATCTAACCTCGTAAGGAATCTCCAGGTCAAGGGTCCTGGTTATGGCGCAACTGTCATGATGCAATCGTTATTCCAATTTTTGAACAACCTATGGGCAGTAGTGTAAACCCCGTTCCTCAAACTGTTTATCTTACGGATAAACTATTTTACGCAAATACAACTAATTTTTAGAGTTAAGCGTTAGAGATCTTAATACAACTGAAATGCAACCTAAGCGTTAGATATCAATATGGTTAATATATTTCGAACTAGACATATTTAATATGCATTTAAATACATAAGCAGACGAACACTTAAAAGAATTTTTGTCAATTTGAATCTAAATGGAAATTTGAGTACAATTATAGTTTTAAGAACAGAGATATAACACTTATTTTGCAACTGGGTCATGGCACTCAATAATTATTTGAAGGAGAAAGAAAATTTCGTTACCTGGGAAACCTTAAAAGTGGTGATTCACCAATAAGACGATGCATGAAGCTCAAGGGCACAAGGGCAGCAACATCTAGGAAGAAATCCCTTGAAGTGACGTAATGCCTAGCTAATCTTTTCCCATCTCTTACCATAATGCCCTGTTCAAGATATCCAGTCCTGAACTGTACTGCAATGTCCAAAAGATAAATGCAATCTGAGCACCAATCGAGGGTAGACCACAACACTAAATGGGCTTCTTGCAATTCCGGAAAGGCCTGCCGGACGATGAGTGTCCAACTATTATGTAGTCCACAAAATGTAACCAACCACAGCCACCAGAAGAGGAGAGATTCGTCTGGATTCAAGACAGTAGCTCGAGCCAAGCGATTGGCAAAATTTTGGGCGTTTTTGGAGTCTTTGTCTGATGAAATAATATTTGGAGGTCTTGTGGAAAATCGCTTCAAGAAGGAGTCTTCTCTCTTGAGAGGGGCTTTACGGTGGTGAGAAACTGCATTGCTAAGTTGCACTGTAGTACGAAGCTTTTTCCAACGAGATCCTCCAGGAGAATAAGGTCTTCCGCCAGAAGGATCTGACTCTGTCTTTCGAATGCTTTCTGTAAAGAGCGCAAATTTTATGGAATTATTATAAGATTTATCTAATTGCAGAAACTAATAAAATGTAGATATTGAGGCAACTTAAATTTTGCAACATTTTTATAGACTGGAATTGTTCTTTCACTCTATATCATATTCTCTCTTTTGAGTAAGGAATTTCAGTTGCTTATTAAAATGTTTAAGGTTTTTAGTTTCTGCTAAAATATAGATTGTATAAGGTCATGACTATCCAGTGAAATGATAATCTAAACTAGACCCTTGTAACTTTTCTTTTACACGACAACAAGGTAAATCTTATTAAGCATCGAGTTCAAAGGTTAATTTAAGCAGCACGGTTTTGACTTTTACATAAAACAAAATAGACTATTCTGTTTCAGTTATGCACTTAGAGAATTATTTCTAGTAATGTTATATTGGAGAACATTTTAAATTCCAAGACTTATTACTCTTACCTACCTATCAAATGAAATTATGAGAAACTAGCTGTTTTCAACAAACGCACTAGTTTTATCTTGCATGTTAAGCTAAAAATTTTACTATGACTTTATGTATCTCATAAGGGACATTAAAAATGTTTTTTTTTTTAAGTTCAAAATCATTGTGACTCGCATGAGTAAGTTGCTATCTGTAATGTCAGATGAGAGGTCGTCATCTGTGTCAGAAACATCGTTCGTAAGTATCTGGGCGAAGAATACATTAAAACTGAACCATAATTACGACCGAAGCATCTAATCTTGTATTTTTACCGACAACAATAAATACTTAGTTTAAAATGTGTTTTATTGCATAAAATTCGAATATTATAAAACAAATTGGGCTGATTTCAAACCGATTATCAAACTTGACAAATGGGAGCTGCTTTGTGTATTAGAATTTTAACTTTTTTATGTTTGTATCTGTTACGGTGAAACACCGAAATCTGGAGAATGTCGACTTTCACCGGTGAATGTCAACATTCACATAGTCTCTTGGTGTATGTCCGAAATATTTTCCAAGTACTCTTATTTCTGACTTACACCGGTCAATGTCGACATTCACCATGTACTAATGGTGAATGTTGAACATATAACAATATTATATTTTCTTCTCCGTAATTCAGTCACGAATAAACGCACTTGAGACTTGAAATAAGAACTTAAAAACATGAGAAACTAAAACACACAATACATTCAATTGAGAAAGGAAAATAATAGAAGTTAAAAACTTACTTGATTATACAGTACGTTCTAAATGAGAAAATAAAAAATACAGTAATAAAAAACTTACTAAATTATGTGATTCAAATCTTATTTATTGCAGCAACTTAAACTATTATGGCACTTTATGACCTCTCTTTTCGACTTTCACCAAAGCATATCTGTGATTGTCGAGATACACAGGTGAGGGTCCGAATATACAAGAATGTAGTTAAATATTCTGTCTTTCACCGACGTATTTGGTGAATGTTGATATTCTCCGGTGAAAGTCGACATTCTCCAATTTCGGTCTTTCACGGTAACATATGTTTAAGATGCAGTTCAATATAACGGAAAAACCAAACCACGCTGTAGCATTTTGTATTTACGGATCATTGTTTGGTTAAGATTCTTCGTGCCTATGGCAAGTGCCATCGGATTGTTTTCGGTGTCGATTATGTACGTTATTTCTCTTAACATTCTTAAATTTTCGTGAATATAGGATCACAGTTAATAAAGAATGGGCATGATATTTCGTTTTTTATGGAGAAAGACCTATACCTCAGAACATTACTATGTCTCTGTGAATCTTTTAAGAATGATGCTTGGAGTAACTCACAGGTTTATGAGTGGTTTTTCAGGCTTACAAATGGCGACATGTCAGATGAAGACTGCTACAACTTGGATATCAAATGATCAGCAGAAATGAAGAAAATAGCAAAAATGAAAGACAGCTTGTTAACAAAAATTGTTGAAGACCACTGATCCCATTTTTGAAGAAGTTCAAACCGATAGTTTAAAAAAAACATCATTCTGCTTATTCCTCACTTACACAACTTACTGAAATTTGTTGTTATGAACGAATGTTTTCTATTTGCATGAGTAACGGGAGCTCACAAAAGAAAACACAACCATTTCAGTGGTATAGATGACATGAAAGATAATACGTTGCATGCCATAAATCAAATTCCTTGTCAAGAGTTCCCAGAACCATTTCTATGTTTCCAACAGATCTAAATGCTGCAAAGCGTGTATCTCGATACTGGTGGAGAATTCTTCAGAGGGATTAAAGTAAGTAAGCTAAAATAACTGCTTAAAATATCTCTATTATACAAAATTATAATTACTCTTAATTATTTTTAAATGTAGTTCCTGCTTAATTCCTTCAATATTTTACATCTGGTATATTCCTTTTCAGAGCCTAGTAATATACTGGTGGACAAAATAAAGAGATGGAAAAAATTTTCCCACTTTCTTTTACAATACCACTCAAACCTGAGCAGTTGGTTGTCATACAATGTTATTGTGCTCATTCCACTCTGCAACAAGGTAGTGATTTTTATTGTCTTTCTTGAGTTGTTATTTGTTGTTTATTAGGTGAAAGGAGTACATATCACTGCTTAGACAAATGTATGAGATAGAAATCGTGGATAGACTTCAGGCGGGGCAGTACCAAGCTCAGGTTGCAAGAGAACTGGATGTAAATCCAAGTGTCATATCTAATTTGTGGAATCAGTTTAAAAACAGTGGGACAGGGAACACCAGGACAAGGCCGTACGAGATCCACAACGACTATTGACGACCGGTATATTGTACTTTCACCCAAGCGCCAGACGATGTCTACAGCCACACAACTGTCTCGTAACGTCACTACTGCCACAGGAACATCAGTTTCAAGGAAGACTGTTACAAAAGGCTCCATAGATAGGAATCTATGCCAGAAAGCCCGCTATTTGCATCCCACTCACACCCTCCCACAAAAGAGAGAGTTTACCAATGGTGTATACAACACCAAAACTGGACACTGCTTCAATGGGTTAATGCTGTCTTCTCGGATGAGTCCAGATTTAGTCTACAACCTGATTCTTGGCGATTATTGATATGGCAGAAACCTGGGACCAGATACCATCCCAGTAATATGATGGAAAATATGGTGGTGGAGGGGTGATAGTCTGGGCAGGGCTCATGCAAGATACTCGCACACCGCTCCCTGTGTTTGACACTGGTTCCGTACATGCCCAAAGGTACAGACAGGAGATCCTAGAGCCCTATGTGCAAACGATTTTGGGTGCTGTTTACCCTGAGTTCATTTTTATAGACGACAATGCACGACCAAATAGCGCCCGCGTGGTTGACGACTATCTGGAAAGCAAGGATATTCACCGTATAGATTTGCCAGCCAAACTCCTATCGAACGTGTTTGGTATGCTCCTGGGAAAGCTATTGCAATATGCCAATCCTCACCCAGAACCATTCAGGAGTTAAAACCGTTGTGGTGAAGGAGTGGGATGTGACTTTCACGGCACTCTTGAATTCTCTTGTTAACAGCATGCGTACTCATTATGCATGCTGTCTGTCTATCAGATACACACCATACTAGCCACATTTTCACTGCTATCTTTCAGCCTTAAGTTTGGGCCACATTGGAAGTTTGGCCATAACTCATACTAATGAATGTGGCATTTTCATTGTTGTTTTGTACTCATCATGTATGCATACCTAATTTCACTTATACATTATTTCTCGAGATATTTGGGAAAAAGGGTTCCATCTCTTAGTGTTGTCCACCAGGAGTAGTTAAATAACATTTTATGCCAGCCGCTTAAACGGTATAGTGGTTAGGCGAGTCGACTGCTATACCCAAGGGCCCGGGTTCGAATCCCGGACAAGGCATGGTTGCATTTGTCCTTTCCGTCATAGGAGGTAAGGATGGCGCACCTATTAGTTGCCTCCATAATAAAGTGACCACCGCTTCTGGCCTTACCAGTGGCCAACGTCTGTGGACGGTTTGGTCCCGCCATTGAAAAAAAAAAAAAAAAAAAAAAAAAAAAAAAAAAAAAAAAAAAAAAGAACCAAAACAAAACAAAACCCTCTTATATCAGTTTTCCTTTACAGCCTTTTTGTATTCAACATTTATCTTGAGAGAAAAGTTAGCTATCCTCTTTGTTTATGACTACTAAATTCTGCGATGGGAAAAAATATAATAATTTATAATTTACTTGTAATTATCTACTTTTTAATTTCTTAATACGTTCGTTATTGTGTTTTTAGAAAACTACCATATGCAAGATGCAGCTGATGTATTGATATCCTAATAGAAATTCCAGTGCATGAAGATACTACCCAGATTGTAGCTTCATCCGATTTGAGAAACATTATTTCCAAAAACAATAAAATCTTTATTTCCATCCATTGGCTTAAGAGTTTCTTTCATCAAACCTAGTTAATGTGTGAAGATTGGTAAGTTCACTTTCTGAAAGTGCAACATAAAGAATGACTTGTTTCCTTTCGGAATTTCTACCATAACGCTTCTTGTCCTTACTACTTTATCTGCATATTACTTAGCTTAGAATTTGAAAAAATAGACCAATTATTTATGGCATTCAAATGTTTCCTATAATTTGTACTGTTAATTAAGAATTTGATATTTCATCATATTCTTTTATATGAGCCCTATAAACATATCGCGATGAAGGATATTGCTTTCTGGGAACTGGTTTTAACTATTTTCGAAGCGTTTCTGAACAGTTTTCCTTCACCAAAATTACGCCTTAAAACTTCTACAGCGTCAGTAAGGTTTTAGCGCACCAGTTCTTGAATAAATGTAGTCTCTAGTTAGTTTGGACTCTCTAAGTCCTAAACGACTGACGACTGTTTTTGTGGTATTGAGAAAGACAGTCTAATTGATCTTTAGAATACAACAATAACATCAAAAGGAAAATGTGGCACAAAAACCTCAATTCTTTGAAAAATATTGATTTCGTAATCATTACTACAAAATTTAAAAAGATCAGTAAGTCAAAAAGTGTATCAACTCTTCACTT